ACAATAATACAATAATACAATAATACAATAGCAGAGTTGGAAGGGACCTTGGAGATCTTCTAGTCCAACCCCCTGCCTAGGCAGGAAACCCTATACCGTTTCAGTCAGATGGCTATCCAAGCCTCCTAAAAGCTATGCACGGCCATTTTGGTGAAGGGGGTAGGGTTTCTGGATGCAAAAAATGCTGTATTCAGTGTATAAGACGCAGCCAGATTTTCAGCCTCTTTTTTGAGGTAAAAAGATGTGTCTTATACTCTGAAAAATATGGTAGTCATCTTGTTCTTCTATGAATGAGTCTAACTAACAACCTTTTACTTGGTTTAGACCCCTAACACTTTTGCAGTGTGCACTGAACATCGTGGAATTCTGCTACAAGCAAGCAATGATAAGGACATGCATGATTGGCTGTATGCATTTAACCCTCTCCTGGCTGGATCAATAAGGTAACTGAATGCCTTAAAGGACTCCTCTTTAGAATGACTTTCCAAAAACATCTTCTTTGTGTTGCACAAACAGCTCCCATTAAACTTGCTGGATAGCTGGTATAAAATTATGGAAGAAACCAATTGAAAAAGGCTTTTCTCGAAGAAGAGTAAACTAGTTCATTTATACTACTGTTACAGATGTGTAATCTCTGATTCAGTTGAGATTCCTGTACCTGGGTGGAAATTTGAAGTGTAAATCCTCTTTTTTCTCTCAAACCTTTACATTTGTTCTATCTTGGCTTCTCCAACAGATCCAAATTATCAAGACGAACAACAACCCAGGCAAGAATTTAACTTAAAAGAGCTGCCCATCTCAAATAATCCAGAAAAGTGAAATAATGGGTGCTGTTGGAAGATCCCCATCTGAAAATTGGAATTTTCCTGTCATTCATCTCCTCAGATGCCTGTGCCACAGAGTGACCCATCATGAGTTACAGCTTCATTGGGCAAATTCATTTCCCTTGTGTAATTTTAAAAGGGTAGTATTCCCTGGAATTCTTGCACATAAGTGATCTTCCACTCTCCTCTTTATTGGGTGGCTTATGACTACTAACAAAGCAAGAGCTTTTTTCTTTCCTTCTGTTTTTTTTAATTCCTAAATCAATTGTTCAATTTAAAGAGATAGGAATTTGCAAGAGTGAATGTTAATGCTATTTAAAGAGATACAAGTGATAGAATTATGTGCTGCTAATTCATTACTTACCGTTGACATTTTACAAATTACTTGATAGAAAAAGACTAGTATGAGATTATATTTATAAAGTATTTATTTCTATTTACTTCACTGAAAATAATATGCATTTTGTTAATCATGTGTTTTGGGGTCTTCCCTAACTTATGCATGTTCCTGATGCGGGACTGCATTTTTGGTAATGGAAGAGATACCCAAAGGAGCCAGGGTGATGATGCAAAAAGAATCCATCTCTGTTTTATGTGGCTATCTTTATTTTCTTTTCAAGCTGCATTTGTTGTCTGGACATTCCTTTCCAGTTTGTTTAATTAACAACATTCTCCCGCTCCTTACCCACTTCCCTCCACTAATAAACAGTTTTTGTTTTTTAAATGCTGTGACTGAAGGCAAAGGAACAGCAACAGAAAATGGAGGAAGCAGGGTTTCCCCCCCTTTCTGCTGCTTTTTTTCTTGTAGGGTGGCTTACATTTTTCCATTGGATAAAATGAAGCTGTAAATGTATACAAGAGCATAAGAAGTGACCTGCTGGATTGGACCACTGGCCAATCTAGTCCAGCAGCTTGTTCTCACTGTGGCCAACCAACTGCACAAGGAACTCCACTAGTTTCCCAGCAGATGGCCTTCAGAGGCAGTCACCCTGCTATAAAGGCTAATAGCCACCAATCCCCACTGTTTCTATGAATTGGTCCAACCCTTTTTTGAAACCAGTCAACTGGTAGCCAGCACCACATATTCCAAGCAGAATAATTTGTGAAGGAAAAGTTTAAGCAGGTTCTCCTACCAAGTATTATTTTGCTCCCAGAATATTACTTTTCATTAATTAAAAAAGAGCCCATGAAGAGAGAAGTATAGCAAGCGCTGATCTTGTCTTAATAAGGATGAACAGCTGGCACTGAACATGTGCTGTTCCTAAAAAGAAAACGCTGGTGAGAGAGCTGCTTAATTCTTCTCCTGTTGCCAAATATTATGCGTGGCATGGAACAGTTTTTCTCTACCCTACTGCCCTCTCACTGAGTTAGGGCTGTAGTTCTCAGATTTCCCTGTCAACATGGTCAAAGTAGCTCTACATGCGTGGAAGATACCAGATGAAAGAAAGCTAACAGGACTGGGAGAAGTTAGAATGCTTCTCATTAGTGATGTCGTAGATACTATTTAATTATGGTATAATATAGCCATTTGAAAGAGTATGGCTGTACTCTTTGAGAAGGAAGGATGGACAGAAGGCGACATACGCAGTGCAAACTCAAGAGATGGTGTCTAGTCTTCCCACAGTAAAGAAAGAACTACTATGTGTTGGTTGCACTTAAAACTGATTGTCTGAAAAAGATAGTTTGTTGTTTTCTTTTCTGAGAAAAGTAGATTTAGAGAATTCAGTGGGAATATAGCAAAGATGAAAGGGATCTTTATGCAGGAAAGGGTATGCCTTTCTGTCACTATAGGAAGTGAAGCTGTTAAAAATCTCCTTCAAAATATACTTGTTATCTCACTACTTTTTTTCTTTTTCAAGTGTTAGAATTCCAAGTGGAATGGACCAATTGGAAAATGAAGCTGACCAAAGCATAGACACTGAAAAATAAATCAATCCCTAGCACTAAATACTTGAGGAAGATATTTTCATTTTTATTAAATTTTTAGAGTAATCTTAAAAGCAAAAGTGTTTTATCTCAAGAGTTCTTGTTTTTGGTGATTTTTTTAATAAAATGGGTATCTATGTAAGCCAAACTTTGGCAAGCCTCTGAAGATCCCCAGCCCTTCTAATGTATGTTCTTAGGAATGTGGCATATTTCACTAATAGTGAATCTTGATTTGCACAGCATGGATACACTTTGGTTTCACTGTCTCCCACTTTTTTGTTGCATCCATTGGTCCTCTGTGTGATGCCCAGATGAAAGTTTGTTTAAGGATATACTGTTTGAATTTCATGTGCATGTGATGTGAGATGTGTGAATATAAAGGCAAGAATGTCACAATCCCTTCGGCAAAGTGTCCCAGAGGTACAAAAATACAGATTTCAGCAGGAATAACTCCAGAATCCTTTTATAATATTGTAGTCTCTGACTGGAAGATACTTGCTGGGTTCACACATTATCAAGCCAATTGCTTCTTTTTAGCTTACATTGTTGTGTGAATCCAGAAAATGTGGATTGTTGATGTTTTATGATTTGGTGTGTTGTATAAAATTAGTTAACTGTGATTTATTCTGTAAACCATGACTTAATGGTGTTTGAACGCAGCCACTATATAATTGTGAGATTTTCTACATATTTTTTTCTGATTAACTCTCTTAAGATAGCATTTCTTTCCTTCAAGAATCTCCATTCTTAAACGTCTATAGGACAGAGCCTAGTAGATTCAATCTCTTACTGATCTGGGGTCAAAATTGAGCATCATGGACCAACTCCAGACATTGCTGAATTGTAGCTACCAGCTGCTACCTGAAGCATAGATAATGATGAAAGATGTTGGAAGCTGTAGTTCATCAAATCTATGAGTAATCCAGGTTTCCATTCTTTTACCTAATGTAAACACTTGTCTTGCTCTTTTAAGAATTATTCTTAGCACTAGTTCTTAATTCTGATCAGTCAAACACAAGTTTGGGTGTTTGGGACAACTATATGGGCAGAATGTGTTACCCTAATTTAAATGCACAAGAAAGGTATTTTTACTGCCCAATCAGTGAGAAGATTTAAGAGTTTGTCAAGTGACACTTTTATTTACTTTAATCTTCATTATTTACTCTTTGTGTTTGCAAAATAGCAAAGAATTATAATCATGACTTTAAAAACAGCCTTGATGGGCAATTTTATTCATTTCAGCTTTCCAGCCTGAAGCTGCTTCCAGACAATGTGTTTACAGTAAAATTGTGTGTCTTGTTCATTCACATTTAATGAGGAATTAACACCCAAAAGTCATCCTCCAGCAACCCTTGTGTTTTTCTAGTGGTGCTCCTGCCTTTTTTTAAACTGAAGAAAATAACACTTTAGGGAAAGGAATAAATAAACAGTAACATCTATTTGAAGCTGTGCTGGCTGGGAAAACTATCTAAATTAAGACCATTAGAAAGACTTGTCACCGAGGTAGGAGATTGACATTTGGGAATGCCTTTCATTTTTGTATTGCTTGCCATGAATTTATCACTGCAAGGCAAGGCCAATTTGTCTTTTATAGTGCAGTTCCTTTTCTCAAAATGTTTTGCCGTTTAATCCATCTTATTCATTTAGTTGTTCTTAAAAAAAAATACCCAAGGCAGATGCATGTTTGATTTAAAACAATAGTTTCCAGTATTTTCCTTTACGCAGATACATTATCAGCAGAGGTAGTATTCAGCTGGCTCAGGCAAACTTGTAGTGGCGCCCCTCCCCCTGGCTAGTGCATAGGCAGAATGAACACACGCTCACAAAATGCACACAGACAGGGCGAACTGATAGTAAGCTTCTGTGAAACCCACCTCTGATTACCAGCAACAGTTTTGGGTAGCACCATATTAATCAAGGACTAGCATTGTAATGCTTGTGGACACCAGAAGACATGACCCTTATAACATCCAGAACTTATATCATCCAGAACACTTCAAAATTAAATGTTTTTCTTTTTAAAAAAATAACTGAAATCATACTATGAAGTTTGGGGGTAAATGTGCCAAAATTTGGTTAACTAATTAACCTTGTGCTATTTTTCATTTTGGTACCCATGCTAAGTATTGCCTAACATTCTCTAAGCTACAGATAGGAGCCACGTATCTCTAAAGCAACTCTGCTCTTGGTTATTCCATTTGCAACAACTTTTCAAAGGAAGCTGGGAGATATTTGTTCCCTCTCAAAAGGAAGTTTTAGTAACATCTACGACATAGAATTTATCTATTTAATTAGACAATTTTGCATACTTTGCTATATATTTAAATAGTTGCATTACAGCATTTTTGTAGCAAATAATTGAATTTTAAAAAAATTAATCCCATGCTCTAATCCTGAGATGATGATGATTGATGATAAAGATAGATGATAGACAGACAGACAAGATAGATATGTAGATGATCAATGAATCGTACTATATATCATCCTAATTCTGGAAGCATGCTAAATCTAAACATTAAATTATCTCATGGAAATTCAATTCCATTTTTCATTTAATGGTGATTCTTGCTTTCTTATTAATATGTGGCCTATCACCCACCAAACTAATTATTTAATTAGACCAAATAAAACCTAATTTGTAAGCAGCAAATGAGCTCCATGGAAATTTAGGTTTCCTAAAATCTCTAGCTGCTGGAAGCCAACTTGAGGAAAGCATCTGACCTTGGGCATACTTTCTCTGAGAAACAACCACACTTCGTACAACCTACAAATGATTTCTAGTTAGCAAGTTTCACAATGTCCAGTGGAGCTTTCTCCTGGGTAAGTGTGCAGAAGACTGCAGGCTTAGTCATCTTAAAGTAATGCACTCTTGTTCTTTTTGAATCTATACTCTGTATCAAAACGTCCCTAAATGTCACCTTCTGTGAATACTGTATTGCACTATAGAGCCGATATTATTCCCACCCAGCACAGTTCATGAGATGCAAAAATCAAAAGGATCAGAATGATGTCCTTATTATTGAGATAAAATCAGGTAACTGAAAAGTTTAGTTCCTTGTACAATAAGAAATTGTCAGATATTTCATTATAATAACAATGAATGAAGTAGTTATGTCAGTATTCTTGCTTGTATATATTTAGCTCTTCAAATTAAGCAGTCAATAAATATGTACTATCAATTGCACTGAAACTGAAAAAGGGAAAATGCTCGAGTGGACTGTGGATGGATTAATAGTGGACATGCCTTAGGTCAGCCAACCTGAAGAGCATGTCCCTCTATGGTGTGATAGTTGGGTCAAAGCTTGATCTCATGCTTTATTTCATGTTTCTTGGGCCAGCAAACCTACAAAGTACATGAGAGTTTTGAGATCAAAGGTTTGACCCAAAGCCCTTAGATCAGCAGAAATATTTTGATCAGAATGTAAAAATAGATAAAAATGAGTTGGTGATTTCTGATCTCAGCAAATTGACTGTAATCAATTATCATATATCAAGCAAGATGCAACTTTCTGCTGGAGTTAATATCCTCAAACGATTGTTATTTATAATGGGGTAGTAAAGACCTAATTACCAGCACATCATCTTTCTTGGCTTCTGTGTGACTGAGGGTGCTGCTTCATTCATTGCTGAAAAAAATCAAGCTACTAAGAAATAGTATCCAGACTTCAATTGAAATAGATGAATCTATGTTGATTTACTGTAATCCTTCTGACTTTGTTTGAATGGAAATTTTTTAAATGTTTTTGCAAAGTACTTAGTTCTAGTAACAAAAATGCCTTTGTTGAAAAGAAAATTACTATTTGTTTCCCCCCTACTATGTTAATATTTTGGGAGTCATCAATAGGAAACTTCTTAACATGAAATGCAAAAGGATAAATTTTCAACTCTGCTCTTTCTCATAGTCCCATATCCTGGGTGGCAATCTCAAGAGGGAAATTAGTTATTATAACATGATGTAATAGAACAACACTATGGCATTATAATAACTCACACATTTCCATAGAATATACACTTTAGAGGTTGATTTTTATTTACTGGGTGGCACAGTTTTCTGTTTCTTCACCTGCACACACTAAATGAAGGGAGACATTTATTCCATAGAGAAGTTCTTTCTATCACCTTCCAGTAGATTAATCCAGCATGTTAGATTTGAATATTATCATAAAGCAACAGAAATGAAAGGAACATAATTAGCCAATAACAACAAATACCATAAGGAAATTGCATACCTCTGGTAACTTGCGGCTATAACACAAGACATTTAACTGTTTAATATACTATTACTGTCTCTTTTTTTGTCGTGTATTCAATTGCATATACAGTACAGAGGGTTTCTAACATTCATAAGCTGAGATTCAGTATCAAGATATTTCTGTATAATAACAGAGGTTATAGTTATTTTAATTTTTCTTATTTTGCCTGTGCTTCCATTATCCAGTTTGTCTACATGAGTTCTTCCTGTGATGCCATCTCCAAATGCTGGGAGACTATTTCTCTTGCTTTGTACAGTATATATGTGATTGCTGTGGGAACACTCTTTACCACTGTATAAATAACAATACTGAAGTAATGAGTCTAGTTTTCTTGATGTCTTAAATTATGAGTGTTGGAAATTAGGGTCTTAAACTGTTTGTGTACACTTCAGGCACTGTTCAGATAAAGAAATAAATGTGGCATTTATGCAAAGGCTAGGCGGTGTTTTTGATTGTTTTCTTAATCAAAAGTGCTATATCATAAAAATTATTTGAACGCCAGAAGTAACCAGAAATAAACATATGCTGCAAAACAATCTCTTCAATTTATAAAGAAAAACTTCATGGAATGGTTAACACTGTGTTCAAATGATACAATAAATCATACTGTGGTTTGAAATAGTATGCTGTCCAAAGCATGAATAGTCTAGATCAGTGGTAGTCAACCTGGTCCCTACCGCCCACTAGTGGGCATTCCAGCTTTCATGGTGGCCGGTAGGGGTTTGCTGCAACTCTGCTATATACATTTTATAAAGTAAAGTTACTTCCCTACTTTATAAATCACCATTACTGTGGAACCGGTGGGCGGTTATAAAATTTTACTACTAACAGAGATACAAAAGTGGGTGGTAGGTATAAAAAGGTTGACTACCCCTGGTCTAGATTGTGGCCATCTCTTCAAACTGACATAATTGATTCATATTACATAATAATTGATTACGCCTCTATATATAATCGGAATTTGGCTTGGTTAATTCTTTGTTTCGCTAATCCTCAATTCTAGCAGCAGAAGCAGCAGCAAAAATCCATTCCTGCAGCAGCATTTCTGCAAGTTTTTTTCCGTTTCCATCTTCAGCCACAGAGGCTCCCCCCCCCATTTGATAGGGTTGAGGAAATGTTAGTTTTCCATAAATGAGCTAAAGAACCTATCACAACTAGGTGCACTACACACAGAAAAGTGCTGGATACAGATAGTTTGGTACAGACTGGAAGTAATCTATGATTTCCATAAATTTCTAACCGTTTTAAGAGTTCATTATCACATCCTAGTAGCAAAAATCTGTATGTAATGTAATTAAGATGCTGAAATAGAACTACACCTTAATAAAAGTGTTACCCAAATTATGTCTAAGTAAACATTTTAAAAAATCTGAGCAAACTGTTTCCAGTGATGGTCTGGTCCCCTGCCTTGTTCTCTCAACTTGTTGCTTTCAGTCACCCATGCTTCACTACTGTCACTTAGTTAAAATTATGGTTATCGCATCTCGGCTGGAAAAACCTGAAAATGCACGAAGCTGCTTTTACTATTTTTGCAGTCTAAATGTGGACACTCTGGCTATTAAACAACAATGCTTGCTGTTTAAGTTAAAGGGCAAACTTGGCGTGGCGACAGAAAGGTCCAGTGACATCATCACCTCCTGTGAATCCTCTATTACAGGGGTGTCCAAACGGGAACTTGAAGACTTGTGGACTTCAAGTCCCAGAATTCCCTAGGCCAACCATGCTGACTGGGGAATTCTGGAACTTGAAGTCCCAAGTCTTAAAGTTCCCAAATTTGGACATCCTGCTCTATTACTACAACCGACCAGCCATGAGTCAATTGAGGGCTACTCGTTCTGTTCCGCCCCGCAGGAAGCGCGGGCTACTCGGGCAGCAGCTGTGACACTTCGAGTTTTTAACCTATGGATTATATCCAGCTATAACCTAATCGTTCTCCTTGGGGCATAGGGAGCGGCGGCCGGGAGCCTTCCAGACATACAAGACGATCCACCTTTGGAGCTACGGGGACCACAAGCGGTGGGCTGCGAACGCCAGAAGCTGCAGCGCTTCCCCAAGCGGAAGAAGGCCGAGCTCTGGCGGAAACTAGATCACCGAAGACATCCCACGGCGCACCCCTGCTCAGGTTTTCTTCCAGGGGAAAGCCCTGGAAGGAGATCGCCCAGGAACCGCCCCCGGAAGTAGCGAGAACGGCTGGGCCATCCCCGCCATCACTTTGTTGAGGGGCACACAGATAAGACCTGAAAAACAAATTCAGAGGCGTCTTCGGACTCAGGCCCTTCTGGCCACTTGAACGCGCCCTCTCGCTGGTTTTAACCTCCCCAAGATTGTTGCGACCACGCCCCTCCTGGCCAATCTTGGCCTTGAGGGCCTGAGCGCGAAGGGCGGCGCTTGAGTCACCCTGACGCCAATGATTGACAGCTAGACCGGCCTTTGCACGAGAGGGAGGCGGTGGAGGAGGGAGCGGCTCGCGCTGGCCGGTGCCGCTGCAGCCTCGTTAGGGCTGGATGGATCTGTTCGGGGATCTTCCGGAGCCAACTCCTCCGGCAGTGGCAGCAGTAGGTGAGTGGCGGCTCCCTTTTGGGGCTCGGGCCCTCATGTTGGAGGAGGAGCGGGACCGAGTCTGCAAGGAACAGGCGAGCTGGGACAGCTTCCCTCTCCCAGGAGGGAAGGTATTTGCCTTGCTGCAGCTTCCCCGCGTGGCCTTTACACGCTCTCGCCCCCTTCCCGAGGGAGCAGGAGAGGCTGTCTAGGACCCTCGAAGGCTTGTGACGTTCGAGGACGGAGCTGTAATGCTTCGAATTAAGACTCTGCCAAGCGCGAGTCAACGCGCATGCGCATGGGACCCCACAGGGAAATCCACGCGCCTCTTATTGACACTCGGGGGTGACCTCTGGCGGGCGCAGGTAACACCTGAGTAGCCCAGGTGTCTCCTAATAGCAAGACCCCGAGGAACAGCCGTTCCCACCGGTTTTATAGCTGGTGAGGCAATTAACTGATGATAGGATTGCTCTTGCCATAACAACAACAACAATTTATTATAATAATAAGTATATTTTAAGAAGGTACTTGGTTGATATCTAGGACGCTGGCAGCAACCCGTATCAACCACTAGCACCTGTCAATGGTATTTGTGATGCATTTTTGAATGTTCAGTTGGCTGAGTTTCATGTTTAATGAATAAAGTATATTATAATAATTTTTGAAGTTGTAAAAAATAATGTGTGGAAAACTGGACGCCCACTAAAGGACAACAAAGAGGTGCCAAAAAGTGTTCACTATTTGGTGTTGCTTGTTGGTCTTTGAATTTTTGTAGCTCTATTTGGCCGCCCAAGTCATATTTTTGAATACTGTATGTTAATAGATTACTCTGTAATTTGGTTTGATTTGGTTTTGTTTAGAGAAAGAGGGACAGAAAGGATCTCTGCTTTTTGATGATCTTCCTTCAATCAGCAACAGTGATTTGGGTATGATTGTTGTCTGCATCTTGTGTTACTTTGAATTATCTTGCTTTCAGAAGCTAGTTGAGTCCTTGTGCAAAGTTCCCCTTGGAAGGCGTGGGAATTCAGTAGGTTTATCCAAATGACCAGGAATTTGCACACTTTTTCCCCTGGCTGTTAGTAAAAAATACAGCAATGGCTCTATAGGGTTTTTCTGTTGACTATTTCCAACTTTTTCACTTGCTTTATTCTCTATGGACGTCTTGTTTGCATCATATTGGTGCAGAGGCATTTGACCCAGTCCTTTTAACTTTTTACATTTTTACAAGCTTAACTTTGCTGTCCTTAAGCAAGACTCCATTCTATTGTGCATTTAGATTTAACTAAGATTATTTTCCAGCAATGGAACTATAAATAATAGAAAGACTGGTAGTAGAAAAGCAAAAGCTGAATCTTAGGTTCTGTGTTCTCCATTCTTTTGTTTGATTTTATCCTTGTGCCGTAATTGAATAGCTAACATCGTACAGATGTACTAGCCGTAACTACTCTATAGTTATTTAACTCTGGAGCTTTTTCTTAAAGGGAATATTTTTAGGTGGAGATAGATATATAAATAGGCATGTATTTTTTAGAAATATATATTGTTATGGGAAAGCCATTGGTTGCTGGAGTAACACATATTTTGCAAGAAGATCCCAGTTTCATTTCCTGGGATAGTAAGTAGGAGAGCTCCTACTTACACCCAATATTATTACCAATACTGCTTGACATATTAAATAGTTTCCTTTTGAAACAAAATTTCTAAATACACTGCCAAATTTAATTTACTTTTTAAGAAATTTTACTATAACTTAAATTAGCAATTTATATTTCTAGTTATTTTTATTGCTCAATGACCAAAATAAATTTCTATCCACCCCTAGTTATACCTCTTTTTATAAGCTACATTTTAACATGGATAATAAAAGTAATCTTTTCTATGTCTATTTAAAAGCTATTTTTATAAAGCCTACTTCTAAGTAAGTATAGGATTGCAGTCCTAGTGCTTTCCCCCACATTTTATGAATTGGATTTAGTGCCATATGTGAAATGGATAAAATGTTAAGTAGCTGTTAAGCTTGACAAGTTTTTTTCGTAGATGAAACTGTTCAAAAATCTACTTACTGTGAGATCTGATTACAGTTGTGTATTTCCTTACTTGGTTGGGGTTTTTTAGGAGCAGGAGGCTCTTTGCTATTTGATGACCTCCCACCTGCCAGCAGTGGCAACCCAGGTGAGCCATAACTAGATTTATTTTGCTATTTATTACACTGCTCTAATAGAGTTAAACTTGAGAGTTACCTGTTTAAGTACCTGTGGTTTACACTAAATGCACACAGGTAATGTGTCTAAAATGATACTAGAAGAAAGTGTAAAATGTCTCTGATTTTTCTTTTTTTCAGATTAGAGAATATCTATGCTGTTCATGTTTTTGTTATGATTTTGTTACTAATCAAGTACTTGAATAGGGTGAGATTACTACTCTGCTGTTGCTGGGGCCACAAATATCTTCACAAATTTACCTGAGATCAATATTTGTGGAGAAATAGCAATCAGAGAATGGGTTCAGCATGTTCCCTGATGTAGTTGGTCCAAATGCATCTTCTAAAGCAGCTGTTCTTTTATTTTATTGACCTGCATTTCCATGTAGGCCTTTTTACTTCAATTTTAAGTATCAAAATTTGTGACAGTCTTGGTTTTTTATTTCAAAATATTAAAGCCAATCTAAGCTCAAGGAAAAAACCCAAGCATAATTAGGTGTCAGAATAATAGTAATGTACAATGTGGTAGCATATGCCATTTGGGGCACATCAAAGTATGCCTACAGAACACTGCTGCTAATTGAGTTGAATTGGCTCACAGTAGGCTTTCTAAGTGAAGTTCAAGATGCTGGCTTCCACCTAGAAAGCATCATAGCACAAGGCCAGTGGTGGGTTCCGACTGGTACGCCCTGGTATGG